TTAAAGATATGTAAGCCTGTATTCACAAAAATCAGACTACGAAAGCACAAGACCGAACCCGTCAATCTGGGCTATTAAGGTTTATTGAACGAAGGAGAAGAATGTCTGGGATTGCATAGCCCTATATGCTGGTTTTAGGTGGCGAAACCCCTACTTTCCTTTTAATTTAATTAGCACCTTCATATTTCAATGTTAAATTTCCATATTCTGCATTTCACTCAAGCATTCTCTCTAGCTCTTGATCACTAGCTTAAGTGCACTGTATCTATTGTGCTCCATCCAGACTTAAAGCGACGTTTTTCCCCCAATGATATCAAATGATTTGTTTGGCATACTTAAAACATTGATGAGCTGAGCTTTCAATTAGGGCGTAAGCTCGCATTCATTAAATTTATTTAATTCATGTACATTTTTAATTTCCAGAATACGTTCCATGGAGCTGTTTTCGCGATAGTCTTTTTTATAATCCATAACATAGGTGTTTTCAAATAATGTCATAGAGTGAGGGCCTAATCTTCTCTTTTGTCATCTTCGAAATAAAATCCATATATTTTAAGCATACCGATGCTTATATTGCGTAGTTTTTAAGACTTGTCAACCCTTATACTCATAGTTTAATCAAGGGTATAAAGATCAAGATGGTGTGGCCTTTTGTATGGTCGCGGAACACCAAAGATTCTGCAGAAACATAGGTATTGAAAGATCCGAAATAGCAGAATATATGGCGAGAATATAAGAAAACACAAGATACAGGAAGGCATCGATATCCTGGCTGAAATAAATCGAAAAAACATCAAACTTGAAGAAGGCAGGATTAGCGAAAACTTTGCATACTGCCTAAGAAAATTCGGAGAAGATCAGGAAACAGCAAGATCAACAAAAATAAGACGATTATATCAAGATAATATTTTCAATTTTAGGAAAATAAATCGCAAGGAAACCACATAGGAACTCTAGGAAGCCAAGACGAGGCGTCTATAAAGAGGCTAATCCAAACAAGTAGAACTACAACATTTGTGGGTTGGAACGCAAAAGACTAAGGCATATGACGTCATAGATTTTTTATCAAGGATAGAAGCATGATAGATGCGACGAAGACTAAAACTATTTGGCTAATAGTAGACGTGTGTGATCATAGACATGATCCGTGAAGCAAAGGCTTGGCCATGAGAATTTCCTGGTGCACATGTTGAGCGATAATTAGGGGAGCTACCGCCCCAAGTTAGTCTCCTATCCAGCTTCAGAATCCAGAGAGGCGGGAGTATATGTCCCATCAAAGGATTGAGGCAGAGTGCGGGTAATAAAGCTTCGAGTAGCACAGATCGGATGGCAGAGATCAAGTGAAATAGCTGAAGAAGGGATATAGGAGACGTATCCTACGAGGTAAGAGGGAGACTCGGATAGGACCGATGGGAAGAGGATTGCGTTCTAATATGATAGACTCAGATCAACATTCCCAACACAAGGCTTGGGGGGTAGGGTGCAGAATCCAGCATTGGGTGTGGAGAGGTCTCCCGAAATCTGCTCAAAAAGACACAGCATACCACATTTAAATCATCAAATATTGATAGTGAAGGTGTGATACGAAAATATAGGATAGGTGAATACCTCAGGACAAAAGAAGGGATACCACAACTGTTTAGCAGATAATTGGTCAAAGGATCGACTTCACTTGTCTCTGACGAGTTGGAGTGTGGTGCTAAAAATGACAAGGCACACAAACGATGTCGGCGAAGGGTCTGGGAATGTACCACGTCCACAGTCCGACTCTGGAAATTATCATGCCTACTATGAACTCCGGAAAAGGTGCGTTTCTCTAGGTCTTCCTGCCAATATGACCAAGTTGCGAAAACAAGGTCAAAAAACTACCATAATGCCTATAATCCCACTTATTTTTATTATCATTATTCATGACTACGTTTAGAAAATGGCTACCATTATACAATTCGTTCTATTAATCTGAAAGATAAGATGTAAAAAGCAGTGCAATGCATTTATTGCTGAAGATTTTGAGCAAACCATTAGCAAATTTTTAGATAATATGCGAAGTTAAGTCTCTAATCGTGAGTTAACGAATGAATGGCAGAGGAACTATGTGCACTCGTTGAAGAGTTGATGTAAACAAGCTATGAAGGGGGATTTAGACCAGGTATATACAGATTTTATTAGCAACTTTAATATTCTAGTATATTCAACACATTTTTAAAATGTGCTTTTTATGCGTAATTACAGCGTGCGAGAAGTTTGATGCGCTGCGTCCGTCGAAATGAAATTCAATAGAGAAATAAGCTGATATTACAACAAAGTTTGGCATTCCATGGAGGAAAACAAGCGTATCTGCTCACCAGACAGCTCTTGGACTTCGTCTTCATTTCTACAAGCTGTCGCCCCCGTGATTGTTGAGTCCAATTCCTGTAGGGCACCGTTAACAAGACGAAATGCCTCTATTAGAGCCCGTTGATCTTGCCTGTTGGCGCATGTGATTAGGTACCCAGACAAGCCGCAATGTAGCTGCCGCTGGTCTATTGCAGAATCGGTGTTACGGGCACGCTTCATGCTTGCCGCAATGCGACGATAAAAGGCTTTCCGCTTCTGTTTGTTTGGTAAACGAACACTTGAATCGCTCATTTTTTACCCTATAAAACATAAAAACTAACATTATGCGAATTAATAAGCTGTTATTTCTATAAATATATGACATTATTATAAACGCTGAGGTATTCAATAACAGAGGCTCAGAGAGGTTGTCGCGTATATAGTACCTATACGGATGCATAGAAGGCTAAGCTTCAGTTTCTCTGGCCAAATCAACTGTTTAAGAAGAGCAAAGTGCAGATTACATGTGTTCTATGGGCAGAAATCTCCACTGGATAAAGGATATAAGGGGGGAGTTAGTAGTAAAGTTTAGTGAGCACATGATGAAAGTGGAAAAGGGCTCACGAACAAGATCCTATGAGGCGAAAAGACAGAATGGGCGGCGCAAGCGAAGGAATTCATCGAAACCCAGCTTCCCTTCATACATTCGAAGTGCCCGGATTAGCAAAAAGGGCGCCTTTAAGATAAGACTTTTTGCCAGATTTCCGCTGAGCATAATCAGACTTCACCTGATCTGTATACTCCTTAATACCCAACGACATTTCAGCGTTTAAAAATAGACCGAGGATAAGTGGACTGACTATAAAAAAACAATCACAGTATAGGCAGCCTTTCTACGAAGCCTGGTAACGTGTAACCACGATACATAGCCCAGGTTGTGAATTTCGTCAAGGGTGCTGATGAGAACTAGGCAAGAAGGAAACTGCAGTCCAGGCAAGATTTTTGGGGACAAGACAATGTAAAATTAAATGGTATAATTGTGAGAAAAATTACAAACAGTTCCTTAATCATTCATGATTATTTAGTTCATATGGGCAAGTCTCATTCATTTCTACAGGAAATTAATATAAATTAATTTTGCAAAGGACGAAGAGATTGATAGAATGAGGAAATTGCAGCACAATTTTGGTTTCGTGTATTCCGAAAGTTTATCCACAACCTATATGCAATTGTAAACTAGGAAATAGGTCAGAAAACGAAAATCTTGCGGCTAAATCAACACAACACAATCAAGCCTGTGCTGCAGGAATATTATTGTAAATAATTTAATTTAGTATGAAAGTACATTAAAAAGAGCTGCATAGGTTGATCTCACCGGAAGAAGACGGTTGGTCGCCGTTCTACTGCAGCCGTTTGGTTTTAATACGAAGCTCAGATTGACGTAATCAACGAGACATTCACTCCAGTTTCGAAAGAAAACGGGCGGAGCTTTCGTCCATCATATGATGGACATCATCAGAGATTAAAGTCATTCTAGAAAAAGAATCAATTTAGCACTAGGTCAAGAAGACTGTCCGGCTCTTTAATATCTCTTATGTATATTCATAACATAAAAAAGAAAATGTATAGACAGATGAATATAGACTGGTTTGGCTAATTATATTTCATATTAAAATATTGAAATTTACTTGTTTGTGCGTCACTATGTCTGTGTTAAGGTCTATACGCAATAACGGGCGTAAAGTAGAATGCTTAAAAATCCTAACGTTAGGCTTGGATCATGAATATGAGATGTATTCACCC